CCCCAATTTTTACATGATGCTGGAGCACAGAGCCGAGGGGTAGGGATGCCACATGCACCAAGGACTTGGTTAGGGACTTGAACCTGGACGGCAGAGGCTGCAGGATAGTGGGAGAGGTTGAGGTGGAGTCCCTGCCACATCTTCACCCCCCCAGGGGTGCTCCTGAGCCTGGTGCCCGGACACCTGTGGCAGAGGGGTGGAGGGCTCTGAAGGTCACACCTGTCACCCTCAGCACCATGGGCAAGCCACAGTCCTGAACCGCTGGCCCAGTGAGCTGACCTGCAGCCTGGTGAGGGGTGGCAGTCGCAGAGCTGACTTTCAGAAGCTGGAACCTTTGTTAGTGCCCCGAGACCCTGGGCACCGGATGGGCCTCCTGAGCCATCTGAGTCCTCACAGGACTGTCCAGAGTGTCTGAAGCTTCTCCGGAACCTGGAATCCCCATGGCCTTCCTACCACCCAGACACCCAGACAAATTACTGAAACTGCAATTTGTCCTGCAAAGACGGTTGTTTAGGCTCGTTTTATTTAGTGATGTTTGCCTATGAATCAGCTCCAACGGTATTCTACTTAATTTCCCTCTTCCAAATAGTATGATGCGTAATGGAAACCAATTACTACAGTTTTGCTTTCTAAGAAATCAGGAAATGTAATCAGGGAGATGCAGTTTGTCTGCTTTTCATGAAATACTGGGTGCCGAGCAAGGGCAGTGGCGGGAGGTGGTCTTGGAGGGATCAGAACACGCGAGTGTGCGCGTGTGCGCAGGTGTGAGTGCAGCCATGCGTGTGCATGTGTCCGAGTGCACCTCTCCAAGCGTGCCTCTCTGTGTCTGAGTGAGATGTGTGCATTTATCCTGAAAGCTGTGCACGGGCCTGAGCCACAAGAAAGCCCAGTCTGCTTCATCAAACCCTGGAATATTGCGAGTTTCACAAAAGGCTGGTGGGATAGACCTTCACTCACAGACATGCAGGGCTGACCCGGGCAAGGAGAGATTTGCTTCTGGGCAATTGACTGCCCGTAAAAGTTGATTGGGCATAATTAGAGGCATTTTATTTCGAATCTCCTTTTCATTGTAAATGATAATTAGGCTCCTGGGGAGAGAGGTGAGTGGTCCAACGTGGAACGGTGGCCAGGGGGCAGCATGATCACCCAGAAAAGCCTGGAGAATTGGGGAGGAGGCTCCCTCCCCAAGGACCACCAGGTCAAAGCTGCCTGAACACCCTCTGCTCCCAGCGTTAGGGCTGGGTGACATCCGGCTGAGTGAGACTGGCTCTTTCCAGGAGATAGTTCCCTCCACGCCCCCAGACTCCTGGCTCTGACTGCTGGTTCCCTGGTCTCTCTCTAGGATGGGCAGGGATAAGACCTGGGTGGGCTTTGGGGATTGTGTTCTGCTGGAATCCCTGCTCTCAGGGCCCCGGGGTTGGGAGGTTGTGGCTGGCCAGCAGTTCTCATCTTCGTCCTCCAGCCTTGGACTCTGACCAGGGAGTGAACTCTGCTTTCTTTCCTTTCCTTGGAAATCTCCTATAACCTACAGAGCAAAGAAGTCTCCTCCTTCCAGGCTGCAGAAATCAGAGCTCAGAAACTGGCCGGGAGGAAGTGACAAGAGGCTAATGGCCTCACTTGGGGGCTCACCGGGGTCCACACCACACCAAGTGGCCAGTGCTTTGGAAGCGCAAGGTCTTCTGGGAAAGTCGCTCTTGTCAGTCCCCAGGAGCTTGGGGCAGGTCTTCAACTTTTTTTTTTTTTTTAATCATACTTTAAGCTCTGGGTTACATGTGCAGAACGTGCAGGTTGGTTACATAGGTACACACGATGGTGGTTTGCTGCATCCATCCCCCTGCATTTCTCCTAATGGTATCCCTCCCTAATCCCCTCACCCCCTGCTATCCCTCCCCTAGCCCCCCAGCCCCTAACAGGCCCCGGTGTGTGATGTTCCCCTCCCTGTATCCATGTGTTCTCATTGCTCAACACCCACTTATGAGTGAGAACATGTGGTGTTTGGTTTTCTGCTCTTGGGTCAGTTTGCTGAGAATGATGGTTTCCAATTTCATCCATGACCCTGCAAAGACACGAACTCATCCTTTTTTATGGCTGCATAGTATTCTGTGGTGTATATGTGCCACATTTTCTTTATCCAGTCTATCACTGATGAGCATTTTGTTCCAAGTCTTTGCTATTGTGGACAGTGCCACAATGAACATACCTGTGCATGTGTCTTTATAATAGAATGATTTATAATCCTTTGGGCATATACCCAGCAATGGAATTGCTGGGTCAAATGGTATTTCTAGTTTTAAATCCTTGAGGAATCACCACACTGCATCTTCCACAATGGTTGAACTAATTTACACTCCCACCAACAGTGTAAAAGTGTTCCTATTTCTCCACATCCTCTCCAGCATCTGCTGTCTTCTGATTTTTAATGATCGCCATTCTAACTGGTGTGTGGGGGTATATCTCAATGTGGTTTTGATTTGCATTTCTCTAATGACCAGTGATGAAGGGTTTTTTTCCTATGTTTGTTGGCTGCATAAATGTCTTCTTTTGAAAAGTGTCTGTTCATATCTTTTGCCCACTTTTTGATGGGGTTCTTTGTTTATTTCTTGTAACTCTAAGTTCTTTGTGGATTCTGGATATCAGCCCTTTGTCAGATGGGTAGATTGCAAAATTTTTTTCCCATTCTGTTGGTTGCCGGTTCACTCTAATGATTGTTTCTTTTGCTGTGCAGAAGCTCTTTAGATTAATTAGATCCCATTTGTCTGTTTTGGCTTTTGTTGCCATTGCTTTTGGTGTTTTAGAGCAGAAGATGCATGTCCCAGCTCCACAGGAGAGAGAATGAAATTGCCCTTCCTCCACCTTGTGGTGCTGTCGGCGTCCTCCACGGACTGGATAACACTGACCCACAGTGGCGGGAATGGGCCTTCTGAGTTCAGTCTGCTGACTCGAATGCTTTTGGGAGCACAGTCATGGGCACACCCAGAAGTCACGCTCTACCAGCTACCTAGACATCTGCTAGCCCAGTCACATCAAATTCACCATCACACCATTCATGAGGGCTCCAGCTTCATGACCTATGACCTTAACCTCCCAAAGTCCTCACCTCACTGTCACCACGGGGATTAGCGTTCCAACACGTGGATTTTGGAGGGACACAAAGGTTCAGTTCCTAGGAGTCAACCAGGCACCAGGGTCAGGGGCTCACATTTCCTTTCCCATATGAAAGATGCTAGGATTCTACTTTGACAGCCTTGGCACAGTAGGAAAAAAGGAAAAACAACAGCTCAGCTTTTAAGGAGAAAAAGCTGAATTCAACCATTCTATCTTCGTCACCACTTCGGTTGTCTGTGATTGCTGTACAGCAACATTTTCCAAGATCAGAGTGTTTAATTATTATTTATTTATCTAGAAAGGGTCTCACTTTGTTGCCCAGGCTGAGGTGCAGTTGCATGATCAAAGCTCACTGCAGCCTCAGCCTCGTGGGCTAAGGGGATCCTCCCGCCTCAGCCTCCCAAGGACGTAGAACTACAGGCACCTCCCACCACACCCAGTTAATTTTTGTATTTTTTGTGCCGAGGCAGGTCTCCAGCCCCTGAGCTGAAGCGGTCTGCTCGCCTCAGCCTCCCAAAGCGCTGGAATTAGAGGCCTGAGCCGCTGCATGCAGCCTAAAGCGTTTATATTTAGAATATTTACCTTCCATGACTCTGGGTCCCAGTCTATTCCTTCAATATTAAACAGCTTCTCGGGCATTTGCTGGAACAAACTGCACACAAATCGCTTTGGACTGTGGACCCTGGAAGCTGCATCTTGGGTGTGCTGCACGGTAGGAAGAATCTGAAAGGGCTTTTTGTGACAGGCACTGGCCCAGTGTGGGAGAGGGTTTGGGGGAAGCTTCCCATGGGTCACATCCAGTGTGATGCGCCAGACATGAGCCCAGGGGTTTTAGCCCTCAGGGCCACAGATCCACTTGAGGTGGCCACCTGCACCCTGGCTTCTGGAGCCAAGAAAGAGCTCAGAGAGCGTTTCCTGACTGACCAGGCCTAATGTGTGCTGTGCCAGTGCAGGAGGCTGCGATGACATGACTGTGCTCACGGGCCCCTCCCTCATGGTGAGCCTGTCCCTGCGGATTCTAGCTGGGAGGTAGGAGGGGTCAGAAGGGACTGCTGGGGGCTGCTCAGGTCCTTGCATGGAGCCCAGAGACCAGGCAGTGTCTCTGGAACCAGGACAATTGATGGGAGTGTCTGATACAAGCAGAGACCCCAGCTACATTTATTCCACAGTGGCCCCAGCCACCCCATTAATGCTAAGAAGGTGCCTGGACCTGCCACTCTTCCTGTTCGTCGGTCTTCCACCTGCTCTTTCCTGCCACCTTCCCACCCTCCACTAAGACTGCTCCTGCTGCACTGTCACCAGGCTGCCACGGGCCCTGGTCAGTCTGCATCTCAGCTAATGACATCTCTCTGCCCTCGTGGCCTCCAAGGCCCATCACTCTTGAGGCTCCCCCCACCTGATGGCTCTGTCTGGGGCTGGCTCCTGCCCTAAGCTCACCTGTGCTGCCCAGGCCTCCAGCCCTCTCTCTCCTCTGCCAACCCTTTCTCCCCAGTGACCTCATTTGGTTCTGTGATTGGCAGAGTCATGGTCCCCAAAGATGTCCCCATCCTATCCCCGGAAGCTGTGAATACGTGACCTTACATGGCCAGGGGGACTTTGCAGATGTGATGACTTAAAGGGTCCTGAGACAGGGAGTGGATTCTGGATGATCTGGGTGGGGCTGATGTCATCAGAGTCCTGGGAAGCACCAGAGGGGGGCAGGTGTAACAATGGCGGCCGGCAGTGGGTACTCATTTTTCCTGCAGGAGAGAAGGGTGACCCTTGTCATGTCTTCTGCAGAGTGGACCTAGGATCTGGGGCTGTTGCTCTCAGCAAAGACTCTATAAAGAGACTTTGGGGCTGGGTGTGGTAGCTCACACCTGTAATCCTGGCATTTTGGGAAGCCAAGGTGGGTGGATCACTGGAGGTCAGGAGTTTGAGACCAGCCTGACCAACATGGTGAAATCCCATCTCTACTAAAAATACAAAGATTAGCTGGGCATGGTGGTGGGCACCTGTAATCCCAGCTACTCGGGAGGCTGAGGCAGGAGACTCACTTGAGTCCAGGAAGTGGAGGTTGCAGTGAGCCGAGATCGAGCCATTGCACTCCAGCCTGGGCAACAGAGTGAGACTCTGTCTGAAAGAAAAACGAAGAGAGAGACTTCAGGGGTCTCTCTCCCCAACCCATCAGGGCCCAGTGGCTGGGGACTGGTGAGGGCTACTGCCCAGGGGCCTTGGCACTGCCCACACACAGGGGAGGTCATAGTGTTAAAAACAAGCACAGGTAGCCATGCCAGAGGGTGGGATGATGGGCAACTGCGGTCACATTCTGAGGTCCGTGGGTTAGGACTCTTCACTTCTCTTTTTTCTCAGGGAGACGCTGTTCAGCCTATGGCATGGCCTGTTTCTTGCAGGTTTCTTAGTGCAGGTCATGTCCCTTCTCATTTTCCTCCATAGCTGGGACCCCTAGATGATGTAGGGCACCCGGGAGGGAGGCGAGAGCCAGGAGGGCAGGGGGGGCCTGGGACCCCCATCCCATAAGGGTGTGCTGGTGGAAATGTCCTTCCCTTCCCCTCTCCAATTAGCAGGGGACAGAGCCTTGGGATGAGATGTTGTCTGGGGTCCATTCTAACTGGGTTCTTCCCAGTCCACTGCATCAGCAGCAACATGAACTGGGGCAGGAATTGTAAGTTTCATTGTGACGTATTGATGATGCAGCTCATACCCTTCCGAAGACAGCAGCTGAGGACCCGCTGTGGCCTCTGCTTCTTTTCTCTCCTGATCGAGGCTGGGACTTTTATCCACCTCTTTCCCAGCAGGGATATTGATCTGAGGCTCTTTCTTTCTCATCCTCCTTCCCCCACCAGCACCCCAACATGGGAGGGGCCGTCTCTGCCTGTTGCATTTAGGGCTTGGTGTCGGTGCAAGAGGAGAATTAAGGGGTTTCAGTTAAGGGGAACTCAAAGGTCCCGCAGTCTGTTTGAAAACTCTCTTGGGGCCGGTCGCGGTGGCTCTCACCTATAATCCCAGCACTTTGCTAGGAGGGGCAGGTGAATGATTTGAGGCCAGGAGTTTGAGACCAGCCTGGGCACCATGGTGAACCCTGTCTCTACTAAAAATACAAAACTTAGCTGGGCGTGCTGGACTCCTGTAGTTTCAGCTACTCGGGAGGCTGAGACAGGAGAATCGCTTGAACCCGGGAGGCGGAGGTTGCAGTGAGCTGAGATCTTGCCAATGTACTCCAGCCTGGGCTACAAACTGTCTCAAAAGATGAAAACTCTCTCAGCTTTGTATGACTTATCAGGCACCTAACTGGAAGTAGTGGAGCTGTGTTTCTAGGAGTTCAGGGTCAGACAGGCTGTACCTGGGAAGGAATTCACTAAGAGGAGGGCTGCTGGTCTGTCTGTAAGAGTGAGGTCACAGGGAGGACCCCTTGTCTTCAGGCTTCGGAGATGCTCTGTGCTGCTTCCTGGCTGGGATACTGCAGGTAGGAAGCCCTGGATGTTCACACCTGGAGATATGAAACACAGACACTTCCCTCCGTGTGCTGCTGAGCACAGTGCTTCTGCAAGATGGACATTAGGGCCTGGATCACACATCCGCAGGGATGAGAAAAGTGAGAGGCAAACTGTCCCCGGCTTTGGTCTGCAGCCGAGGGCAATCAGATTCCCAGATCTCCCCAATCTGTGCCCCACACCCAAGAAGCCACAAGAAAGGCTCAAGGCTCTGGCTCTTTCTATGCCGTCTTGTTCTTACCCTGCCTTCGTTGAAGCTGCTGGACTCACGGGTGAGTCTAAGGGACAAAGGGACTCTCCTCTAACAGCAAACAAACCGCCCTGCCCCCGCACTGATCTCGGAGGACCCACACTTCCGGCAGTGGTTCCCCCGCCAGCTCCCAGCTCTGGCTCCTGAGTGGCCCTGCCTCTCTGGGAGGCTCCCCGAAAACCAGCTAGGGCTGTTTGTTCTGTTCATGCTCTTATCCTTCTGACTTTTGCCCTAGAGAGTCATTTACATCTTATTCAGTGGGTACCTGCACCTATTGGATCCCTCCTTTCTAACCATTTAAAATGTTTCCAAATCGTTGTGTAACTCAGGGAGGGTGCTGGAAGGTTTGCCATTGAGAACTGGACATTAGAGAGAGAAAATGCCCAAGGAAAAGATGAGCTTTTTTTCCCCAACGGAGCTCTGAAACCCTTTGCTTACAACGAGAGGAAACCGTTTGCTCTTCTTACACTCATTGTTTGCCATTTCAAAGCCCCCCCCACGCTGGGACCTTCGATGGCTGGCCCCAAGAGCAAGAGTATCCCCCAAGGAGAGGGAGGAGAGTGGAGGGCAGTGACCTAGGGGTGGGTCCGATCGTGAGAATTTTGATTTTGATTGCAGGAGCAATGCCTGCCACAATAACGGTGGAGCAGGACCAGGGTGGACCCAGGGAGAGCCACGCCAGCACTCAGGCTTCTCAAAGAACGGAGCAAGTCTGCTTCCTGGAGGAGAGATGGCACAGGGCAGGGCCATGGCACAGGACAAGGCCCTGAGGCTTACTGCAGAGGAGTTCTGAGGAGGGACAACCGGCTCCTTGTGTGGAGTGGGCAGTGTGTGCTGACAGGCTGGCATGGGGACCATGACCTTGGGTCCAGCTGGGTTTGAGTTCTGGGGGCGGAGGCCAAAGGTCACATCTACCCTCTGCAGGGCCTTGCTGGTTCCCTCTGGGTCCACACAGAAGCCTCTTAGGGGACTGGAGAGGGGTAGGGGCTGGGGGCAATTGATCTGCAGAGAGTCAGTCCAGGCTCCTATTTCTCACGAGAGAGAGAGAGAGAGAGAGAGAGAGAGAGAGAGAGAGAGAGAGAGAGAGAGAGAGAGATAGTTTGATTGACTTTAAGGAATTGTCCTATGACTCACGCGATCATGAGGTTTGCAAATCTGGAATGTGCCTGGTATGTCAGCAGGCTGGAGACCCAGGGAGGCGTTGCTGTTCCAGGCTCAAGTCTGAAAGCTGCAGGCTGGACGGAGAAGTCCCTTCTCCGCAGGGGAACCCAGTCTTCTCTCTTAAGGTCTTTGTCAAATTGGACGGGGCCCACCTATATTATGGAGGGGTATCTGCTCCACTCAGGTCCACAGATTTCAATGCTCATCCCGTCTAAAAAACAGCTGAGCAATGGGCACCATGGCCTAGCAAAGCTGATCCTAAAATCAACCCTAAAATGCAGCCCTCCCAGGGGTGGAACTGGTCAGGTGCTTCCCTCGGAGCAGCCCAGACCTCTGGGGGAGCCTCTGCCAGGGAAAGGGCCCTTGCTGCTGTGCTGTCCTGGGTGCTGGCATCTGGGTCCTGGTCAGGGAGCACCCCAGAGGAAGCAGAGCAAGCCCAGGACCTGGGGGGCACCCCGCCTGCCCTTGGATCTTTGGGCTGCCGGAGCCGAGGTCTGTGCAGGGTTTCTCTTACTTGTCATTGACAAGAAACCGGGACTGGAATTCTGCCCGGAGCTGTCTGGGATGAGGCTGCACATTTCTTTCCATGTCTGCAACACAGAACAACACAACTGGACCAGAGGTGCATATGGGGGTCTTGGGGGGACAAGGGGTTCACCAACCTGAGAGGCCCCTGGGTGCCCGGCTGCTCATATCCCACCCACCACCACCAAACCTTGTGGGGGCAGGGCGTGAGCCATATGGAGGGGATGCTCTCCATGGGTCCCCAGCAGGCACCAGGGTGAGTGACTGACAGTCCACTGTAAGTATATGTGTCAGGGCACACTGCGTAAAAGGGTGGCGAGAACACCCTGCATGCGTGTGTGTGTGTGTCAGACACGCTTGAGATGGTGCTTAACCACGGTAGACTTTACCCAGACAGCAGCTTGGCTCATATAACGGCTCTGTCTCCACCTCAAGTCACTCATGCAACTCAAGAGAGTCCAAAGGGCCACGTGGAGGGAAAAGGGCATCTGTGTCAGCACTGCTGCTTGATTCTGGACCAGGGTTTGCCGCCCAGCTGCAAAGAATGGATAAGGCAGACACCAGTGATCCTCAGACCCTGATATCTCTCTCTCTGTCTCTCTCTTTCTGTCTCTGTTTCTCTCTCTCTCTCCCTGCCACTGTGCCCTTGAGCCCTGGAACCTACCTTTCAAACAAGGATCAGGGTCACCCAGGAACATTTACCCAGCAAAATGCAGGGAGAGCAGAGACAGAGGAATACAACTGCGATCCCAAATGCTTGTGGGGTGTGTGGAAGAGGGATGGAGCTGTAAGACGGAAGTAATGCCTTCCCTTCCCCTTCCCCTCCCACCCTCCCCCTCCCCCTCCCCCTCTCCCATCCCCGCCCCCACCACACCCAGCTGGATTTTAAAAGTTTTTTTGTAGAGAAGGAGTCTCACTTTGTTGCCCAGGCTGGTCTCAAACTCCCGGGCTCAAGCAATCCTCCTGCCTCGGCCTCCCAAAGTGCTGGGATTACCGGCATGAGCCACTGTGCCTGGCAATGAATAGCTTTAATGATTTATTCAATGCAACACGAGGATGAACTTCCTACACCTCAGGATGATTAAACATGAACAGCTACCTTGGGAAGGCTGAGGTCTCTGTGGCTGAATGTCCAAGTTGACAGTGGTCAGGAGCACCACGGCACAGAGGTAGCCCTCGCTTCACATTCCTCCAGCACTGGGGGTGCCATATGGGGGCAGACAGGGCTGGAAGAAAGTCCCAGAGCGGGTGAGTGCTTGGTGCTGCCCCTTTAGGGCTGTCCCCACGTGCCGTCCCTCCACCCAGGCTCCCAGGCATGCTCCCACTCCCAGCTCAATTTCCTATTTTCTGATCCATCCTAGAATCCCGATCTTCCACTCCGATAGGATAAAGCCACTCAGATTTGGGCTTTTCATTTGCAGCCACATTTGAAGCAGACACGACGATGCCCAAGGCTGAAAATGCCACTCCTCCCGAAGGTACTGGCAGAGACATGGGCACCTCACCCTATGGAGTGAGATGACTTCCTGGCAGGCCATGAAGATGGTTTGCGGTCCAGGGTCTCCTGTGAGCTTCCCTGAAGAGCAGTGAGACCTGTTCTCTGTCCTCTTGGTTGGGTGGAGAGAGGTTAAACCACAAAGAAAACGCGTCCTACTGAAAACAAACAAACAAAACCCCACAGTAGCCTCTCCTTCGGGGCTGGTGTCTGGAGGTGCCGCAGGTGGACCTGGGAACTGCCGTGTGACTGAGCAGTGCTCCTTCTGTCACTTGACTTGAAGTAAGAGAAACAGAGGACCGTGACTTCTGTTTCCATTTCACAGTTCTTCCCTCAGTGTCTTCAGACAGGCAGAGTGCGCGCATGGGGTGTGGACACGCTCCTGAATTTCTGCAGAGAATGCCAGAATGTGAAAGGCTGTCACGAGTTTCTAAAGGAGAGTAAATGGATTTCGGCTTCCTGGCGGCCCTGGCTCTTCCTGTCCTCTGCGTGAGTGCTTTCGCACTTCTCTGCACGTCTTCTTTCTCTGCTGGTCCCTGTGTTTCTAAGAAGGTTGACCCCAGGGTGGAGCAGCCTTCATCTATCCAATGTGTCTCAGAAATGTCACAAAACCGAGAGGCTCCTGCCACAAATATTTCAACCCAAACCATCTCCCTCCTCCCACTGGTGTCTCCTCTTCCTTGCTTTCTTTGCCCAGGGCTAAAATGTGGAAGCCACGCAGCTACCTGCCGGCCACCTCTACTTGGCATTCCCTAGGAACCTCGGGGTGACCTGGCAGTGCCATGGATTTTTTTTTCTCCTGCACCTGTGCCTCCCCTGGGGCTCTGCAGCTCAGGGACCAGGCCATGGGACAATGGGCTTGATTAAGCTTCACACTGGGGCACCTGGATTCCAGCCTTTCGCTGCCGTGGTGGTCTGTGTCTTCAGTACGTTCCAAATGCACTCACTTTTGGTCAGCCCTGTCCCCATGGCACTGGCTCACTTAGTTCCCCTCCACCTTGTCTGTACTTTTGAAACAAATTTCTGTCCACCGCTCCAAACTACCCTTTATCCTGAAGCCGTAGTGACCTTTCAAAAGTACACATTCAATCATGTTGGGTCTGCTTTATCCCCTTTCAGCAACGCCACCGACTGCAGGCAGCAGTCCAAACCTTTGGCACGACCTGCAGAATCCAGCACCTCTCACCCCTGGAGAGTCCCTGCGCAGCCCCACTACTGCGCAGCCCCTCCCCCGCGCAGCCCCTCCCCCGCGCAGCCCCTCCCCCGTGCAGCCCCTCCCCCGCTCAGCCCCACCCCTGCGCAGCCCCTCTGCCAGGTCTCACCCAGGCCCTGCCCTCACAGCCTCTCAGCTCTGCCTCTCTGGCCTCAGCTCCCGAGCTCTGCTCCTGTAGTTTCAGTCATTCCACGCTCAATTCTGCAAATACTCCTTGTTCCTTCTCCCCTCAGGCTCTGCACCTGGGATGCCCTTTGCACCGCTCTCCTCCCAGTACCTGTCTGTAACTCCGCTGGACCCTGTCCCTGAGCCTCAAGTCCTGGGAGATGCCTTCCTGCCAGTTCTGTAGGACAGAGAGGCTCTCCTGCCCCAACTGTCCCTTTGGACTCCTTCCTGTTACTCGAAGGATGGCTTCTGAGGTCCTCCAGCCACGCCTGTTCCTCCGTAAGGGCCTGAACCCAGCAGGCTCAGAGGCACTTGCCTTCAGAGGGAGCATTGAGCCCTGCAAATGCAGCCCACCCTGCTGGAAAACGTACCCGAGTCCTAAGGTTCAGCCCAAGACTGCTCCTCCTTGTGCTTCCCTTGAGTAGCTACTCACTTGCACAAACCTCTCTGTAAGGGTCCAGCCCTACAGGGTCCGGTGAGCCCCTCTCTGCGGGTGTGGAGATGAGAAACTGTAGAAATAAAAGACACAAGACACTGAGATAGAGAAAAGAGAGTTTGGGCCCAGGGGTCCGCTGCCAACCAAAGCCCGGAGTCTGGCAGTGGCCCCGAGTGCCAGTGCCGGGACGCTCTGACGTTTATTGAGTTCAAAGCTGGAGGCAGGGTAGGGCGTGGCCTTGGTGGTCGGTGATAGGGTCAAGTGCATCACGTGTCATATAGGTAGGGGCCCAAGGCTTTCAGGTAGCCGAGATGAGATAAGCAGCATAATGTGTTAGCACTTTTGCATACTTGTTAGAAAAGACATTACGATTTATATTACTTTTACTAATTATCTCTTCTAAGATTACAGGAACCAGGTGCAGAAGCAGAACATGCGAGTGAGCATGGAACGTGACTGCTGAAGCACAGTGTCACATAGAGGCAGTTAAGCCCCCAGATGTCTGCGGGCTGACCTGACAGCCGTCAAGCCCACCGCAAGAGCTTGGAGGAGCTGAGTATTCTCCTAACTCCCCTGAGGAAGGAGACGTCTCGACCGTCTTGAACGTCTCCTTCACTAGCTGGCTAAACAGCGGGTGCTTTCTCAGCACTGGTGCTCGGCCAAGGCACCCTCCAGCAGCCCCTGGCGGGGGCATGACAGAGAGCTTAAAGCATCTCACCTTAGGGTCATTTCTTTCACAATGTCGCCCCAGGTTCACACTTCCAACCTGAGAGGCATTAGTAAAAGAATTAGGATAACCTATGAATAACTAAGATTACCTATGAATTTCTAGGTTATATTTCTAGTTATTTCTTCTTCATTATTTATATGGAAACAGGCTGAGGCTTCTGGCTCCTGCCTTGGCACATATGTGATCTTCCCTCTACACCTCCCAAACCTAGACACTTTCGCATCTGGACCTCTTCATTGGGAGTCCCAGCTGGTGCTCTTTGCCCTTTCGGAGGCTTTCCCCAAGTTCTGGGCCAATGCTCCTCCTCTCTCAGGCCAGCCCTTCAAAGACCCTGCCTGTGCCGGATGAGGGGTCCCAGTCTAGGGCAGTTGCTCAGGTTGTGCACTGCACCTGGTTGTCTGGCTGATTCTACCCCTTACCCCCATTGTTCAGCTTTAGGCCCTGGAAGAGGCTATCTGCCCAGGGGTGACCCGGGCCAGCCACCCCCGGGGCACATAACTTTTTCCAGGGCCTAAAGCTGAGCAAGGGGGGAGTAAAAAAGCACCCAAAGAACCAGTGGTGCCCCAACTCACCCCCAAGCTGCTCCAAGTGCCTAGTTTGTTGGGGAAGGGGGTGGAGTCGCCACCTCCACTCTGCTCCCTCCCCAGGTGTCTGCCTGTCTTTGCTGCTGCCTTGGTGACCATCCTCTGCCCCTCTGGCCAGAGCCTGACCACATTTTTTACCTCCCACTTGGGTTCCCTCTGCTCTCTCAGACTTTCCCTCCCTGCTCCAGCCTGGCGATTCCTCCAGGCACCTTCTCTTTCCTGAGGGTCCAGCCTCCCTAGACTCTTCCTATGGTTCCATTCCAGATCCCCAGAGGAAGGCTGTCTGTTGGCTTCTGCCCATCTTCCTACTCCCCCAACTTCTCCAAGCCCCCCAAACTAGTGCTTTTTGCACATAAATCAAAGCAGTAAAATTAAGCCGAGCAGTCCTAGCCTGCCAGCCTGTGAGCTGATGCCACCACACCAAGTATGATGACCCCTGTGGCGTTCAAGGAGCTGCTGGTGTTAAGATGCTCCCTGCGGGGCTTGTGACCGTGATTTGTAAGGAGGGGTGGACGACAGGGTGGAGGCTGGAGATGACAGCAGTTCCCACCCCGAGATGGAGGAGCCTTCCCCACAGGGCTCAGGGGCTGGCGTTGTCTGCTGGAGAGTGGTCTGTGTCCCATACTCGTTTGGAAGAAGCGCTCTGCTGCATCCTCAGGCTCCCGCCAGCCCCTGTGTGATTGCTCTTCTGATGATCTCCTTGTCCATCATTTTCTCAGTGCCCAAAGCCGCAATTCTGCAAACCACACACCTGCTAGGGTTGGAGACTGCACCGGCTGTCCCGCTCTGCCCTTGAGGTCAGAAAAGTCTGAGGCCTCTGGATTTGGGATCCGGCCTCGCCGCCTGCAGGCTGTGTGGCTGCGAGCATGTTGCGTTCTGGAACCTCACTGCCTTATGTGTCAGACCGTGGGCGATGCCATTTACTGTGCAGGCTTCAGAGGAGTAACTGAGGCAGTAACTGCCACACGAATATTAGCTGTTGTTATTATTTTTACTACGATGTTTTGATAAACACACAATTATCCAAAGGCTCTGTGAGCTGATTTTTGGTCCCAAGAAAATCTGACATCAAAGAGCCTGCCAGTGGCGAATGCCACCACAGAAGAGAACAATACAGCTTCACGGCAGGTCCCAGCTGCACCCTCTGTAACCACAGGAGTGCATGTCCACAGAGCACTTCACTCATCTAAAAAGAGGCAGTGACTTTCCAGGATTAGGGAGGCAGGGGAGGGGACCACACACGTGGCCGCTGCACGCCCTGTGCCTCCACAATGGACTTCCACATTTGTCCTCTGACCCGCCAGCTCCATGACCCGGGGCAGCATGCTTAGCCTCTCTGAGCCTGCATACGCCAGGCTTCTCTAGAGGGACAGGACTGATAGGATAGAGGTGTATGTGAAGTGGAGTTTGTTAGGAGAACTGATTCCCATGATCACAAGGTGAAGCCCCACAATAGGCCATCTGCAGGGTGACGAGTGAGGGAGCCAGTCTGAGTCCCACAACCTTGCAAGTAGGGAAGCTGACAGCGCAGCCTGTAGCTAGAGGCCCAGGGCCCCTGCAAAGCACCGGTGTCAGTCCAAGAGTCCAAAAGCTGAAGGGCTTGGAGTCCAGCATTCGAGGGCAGGAAGCCTCCAGCCAGAGAAAGATGGAGGCAGGCTGGAAGACTCAGCAAGTCTGTTCCTTCCACGCTTTCCTGCCTGCTTTATTCTGGCCATGCTGGCAGCTGATTAGACGGTGCCCACCCTGATGGAGGGTGGGTCCGCCTCTCCCATCCCACCGACTCACAAGGTCATCTCCTTTGGCGACACCCTCACAGACACACCCAGGAACAACACTTTGCATCCTTCAATCTGGTCAAGTTGGCACTTGGTATGAACCAACACAGAGCCCGTTTCTTTCACAGCAAAATGGAGATGATAATAGACCTCTAAGACTTTCTTTGGGTGTCATAGTCAAGTGGCTTACAAATCACAGGAATTTATTCTCACTGCTTAGAAGGCCAGAACTCAGAAAGCAAGGTGTGGGCAGGGCATGCTCACTAAGAAGCCTCCAGGGAGGGTCCTTCCTTGCTTCTCCCAACTTCTGGTGACTCCAGAAGTCACTTGGGTTGTTACAGAACCACTCCAATCACTGCCTCTGTGGTCACACGGTCACCCCCACTTGTGTCTGTCTCTGTGTCTGTCTCCTCTTCTCTGAAGGACACTAGCCATTCTGGACTGGAACCCAGCCAAAGACCTTCTCTTAACTCAGTGGCAGCTGCAAAGACCCTAGCTCTAAATCAGGGCACATTGAAAGGTGCAGGGCGTTAGGGCTTCGACACACCTTTCTGGGGAGACACAGTTCAACCCGTAACAAGTCCCCACCTCCTGGGACCGCTGGGACGATTGGTAAGGAGGCGTGTGCTAAGCGTATGTGGCCCCCTTAGGCTCCTAGGTGGTCATCGTTAAGTACCACGAGCTAGGTGGCTTAGATCACAGGAGCGTGTTCTCTCAGAGCCCTTACACATATTCTCTCATACACTTTTCATATGGGGCCATGGGAACTACTCAGCACATTGCAGCCACCGCAGCAATGATTCATCCTTCTTATCCTTCTACACCATCAATGAAGTTCTGCAGATACAGAAATCAAAGAAGACTTTGCCAGGAGGAAGAAGGGGAATCGCCCTGAGCAGTGGGTCATCCGAGCTCTTTGCAACCCGACACGAATCGCCCCCTGCTTCCTCTGCACACAGAACCAGATCGGGGCCTTCTTTACGATTCCTGCTAGTGTCACATGAATTCCACCAAAATCAGGGAAGTGAGACTCCTGCGTCACCCCCACCCCATTCACTCAACACAATGATTGGCTCAGCCGCTGTATGAGTGTCCTGTGATGGGGAGAAAAATGCACCATCACTCAGACATGGTCTCTGCGTTCAAGGAGCACGGTCTGTCCACCTCCTGCAAGACACGCCATGTGAGGAGAGCCTGCTAGAGAGAAGCAGCTTCTGCAGATCTCAGAGGGCTCATGTCTGCGCACCTGGAGGCTGGGTTCCATGAAAAACGCAAAAGAAATACACACCATCCTTAAGGAGCTT